TAGATATATATTTTAACAAATTTTTTTAAATGATATATTAATTTAAAAAAGACAATTTATATCGTCGCATGCAAGTTTAAAAGATATTTTTTTGAAGAAAATACACATAATTTGAAGAATATCACATAAAAATGTACAGCTTTTAAAATGCGATAATTTTTAAACATAATTTTAACAAATATAAATATCGAATACAAAAAAATAGCAAATAAATATATATATTTATTCCGACGATTAATCGCGCGTCTACTGTGAATAGGTATGCAGATGTATGTGGCAAAAATTTGCTTCTATTATTTCACAAATAAGTCATACATATATGAAAAATTTTAAAGGACTTATTTATTTTTAGAAGATAGAGACTATTTGTTATAGAAAAAAATGTATGTAAAAAAACACTACTATCTTATCAATGATTGGCTAACATACATAATGATTTATAATGTAAGAATACTCAAACTTTAGTTTGATGATTATATTGCAGACGAACGAATTGAATGGACACATTTTTAAGAATCCACTTTAACGAGAATTGTTTTTATAGCAATTAGGTATATATGTAAATATATGTATTAACAATCCATTTAGAATTTTAAATCTGTTTTTCATTCTGTTTATATATACATATAATATCCTTATAATGCGGCAATATTTATTCCTTTTTTATCTATATAATCACTCTTTTTCGAATTTTATTTATCTCTGTGGCCTTTCTGTCATACATAACAGTTAATTTGATATCCTATTTAGAAATTTAGCAGTCTGGTAATGTTTCATTTATTTACTATTTCATTTATATACATCTATATATATGGCTCTTTTTTAGATCATAAAATCTTAGATAATTTAAAAATATGATTATATTCTTGTTGAAATTCACTGCATTAGAATACAATACAAACACGAGAAAATATGGACGATTATATATATACACATATATATATTTTTTTTATTAAAAAACGATATGTCTAATAAAGTTGCTTATCATAATTTCAGAACAAAAAATTATACACTTACATATATATTTAAGTATATGTATAAAAGTATAAAATTTCTTAATTAATTTGTATTGTAAATTTATAATGCTCTAAATTATAGGCACAGATTCTTATAAAATATTTCATACCTTTTATACTTATTTCTAAATACAAATACATAAACTTTCTTTCCCTTCATCAAAAACGTGCACTGTTGTTTTACTCGCTTTTCTATCGCGCGTCATCATATATATAGAGATTCATTTTGTAAACATATTTATGTCTAATGTGAAAAATCTCTCAATATTACAAATCTCAAAATATTTTTGGTTCTTATCGAATTCTACATTTGTGTATGTTATAATATTACTATATCACTCTATGTATATCTCATAAAAATATTTAAAAATGCACATTTAGAGATCTTATAATGTATAATGATCGTATGTACCTTCGGAGCATATCTCTAAAAATAAAACTGTAATATAGAATTTGTGATATTTAAAAAGTACTTTGCTACTTGTACTTTATTGCTTTAAAATATACGCTTCAAGATCATGTATTTCACGCGAGAACAATATTGCTCCCATGCATATCCGTATCGCATCTGACAACGTCTATTGTCCCTTACAGCTCTGTAAGCCAGCGTTAGTGTGCAGCAGATCGCCGCGTAATACGGTAATATGTCACTCATCAAACTAATAATCGCGATTGACCATTGCATTATAATATCACCCAAATAATTGGGATGCCTCACATGGCCCCATAAACCAGACAGCATCAATTTCTTCCCACGCGACGTCGGGATGGTTTCTAAATCTATAAATTTCAAAAATAGATATTAATCCATTTTAGGAAAAAAAGGAAAGAAATAATAATTATCTATTCTTACACTTACAAGGTACTGTCGGCGAAACGGGATTCTTTCTAAATTCATTTTTTCGCGAATTACTAGTCCTGTACAAGGCATATCCCATTACAAAACTTAAAACAAATATCCCAGCAAAATAGTTAAATTTTATTCTGAAAAAGCACATTAAATGAAAATTAATATATTAGATTTAATATTTATTTATGTTAGCTCTATATGCTTACTTTTGATATAATATAAATCTTGTCGTAAGAGTTGTCAAGAATGGATATAACAAATGACTGACGCATGTCATATATCCAGTTCCCTCGTACATTATAGCAAAGGATGTAAAAATAGTAGCTTCAAATATTAATCCATCTACAATATAGAATTGTTGCAATAAGATAACCAACAATGTAGCTACATTAAGTTGCTCGATATTTAGACTTTTTACATCTCCAACAACTTTAATTATGACAGCCATGTTCACAATCAACTGCAAAATAAAGAATAATTATAACCATATTCAATTTTCATTCCTCTTTCTTCAAATCCCCAATATCTCCATCTTCTACGATAATAGAAATATAAAATAATTACCGTGCCAATAAGAGAAGCTCGTATTAACAACAGTTTAATATCCAAAGCACCAATTCGCGGATTAATTTCTCTACCCTGCCAAAAATTATATATCTTGCTTTTAGTTGATGCATATATATTTAGATTGGCAATCGGAGCTTTTCCCGCTTTCATATATAATCCCAGCGCTAAAAATGTTCCCATAAGCCAGCCACTGACTGACAACTGCACGATATTATCCAAAATATAATCACTGACCAAAATATTTTTATACATGCATAAACCGAGTACTATTATGGTCAACATAGCACATAAAAAGCCTAAAAATTTAACAAAAATTTGTAGAAAATAGTAACACAATAATATAATAAAAAATCGTGCATTATTAAGCATGTACCATTTACGCGATATTGAAGTATCCCGATTTTACTCTGCTGTCCATCTACAGTTCTCCCAATTGGTATAATTGAAATACAAGCCAAGAATATTAAGAATGCAACATAGGACAATAATCCATGTAAATTTATGTAAGACTCCAAATTAATAGGAAGTTCTACATGAGCAAATTTGCATTGTCCTTTCGAGCACAAGAATTGTGGTAAGATTATAGATATTGGTAAGATAAATATAAGAAAAGATGTCCCAATCCATCCACCCCATTCTTGCGGTTCATCAACTCTATTAATCTCTTTCTCACGTTTCACTGCTTTTTCCCATTTTTCAGTATCTTGCGATAAAGGTTTTAAATCCTAGGATACAATTATTAATACATTATGTAAACTGTTACATTGTAAAGTGTAAACAATACGACATAGAGTGTAAAAATGGAATATAACAGAATTATTAATAGAATATATAATATTAACAAGATATTATTAAAATTTACTTGATCTCTTTGCATCGAATATCCCCTTTCTTTTTCCGCTGAAGGATAATCATGTATGTAACTTTTCTTTTCTAGCGGAAGTGAAACAGCTCTATCAATATTTCTCATTAATGTAATTGCCTTATATTCTTGCTCAGTTTTTAGAAACGTCGGCCTACGTATTATTTCCTTCTGCAAGCGATGTTGCAAAGGCATTGTTTCAATTAAACTCTCTGCCAATACTTTTACATTGCTTCCTTCTTTGTGATTGCTTACTTTATCTGTTTATTAATAAAAACAAATTTGCATATAAAAATATATGTGGCAAATAGCATATAGCAAACATATGCTTACCACTTTCAGCATCTATGCGCGATAAAGAGACCTTAGCGAGACGCGTGTTACGAATAGGCAACTTCCTAGTTGTAATTGTTGGCGATCTCGCAGGCGATTTACCTGATTGTCTATTTGGCGAACGTCTACTTGGTAAACGTCTACTTGGCGAACGTCTACTTGGCGAACGTCTACTTGGCGATTTCCTACTAGGCGAATATCTTGAGGAACTTTTCGTGATCCTGCTTGTACTTCTCCCTACTCTCTCATACTTCAAAAATATAAAGAGAATTTTAAATATATATGTATCATTATAAAATATACTTTTATAACATAAAAAAAATAAAATTTTTATCTTAAATTTATCTTCTACATATTCTTCCTAAATATATATAGTTTTTGTGATAATATTTCTTTACTAGATGGCAGCTAGCTATTACCTTTATGTCATTTTCTTTAACCATATGCTCAGTGCCTGTTTCAAATTGTATCTTGTATCGATCACCCCTAATATTGAGAATCCTTCCTTTATAATATTCAGAAGTATTTGGATGTTTAGCAAGAACCTGTTCACCCTCTGTAAACTTCATTGCGAGACCTAACACAATATTGAAAAATTATAATATATGCATATATATATTAAAAATATCAACAATTATCAAAGATTAATTGCATTTATTAATTCATTAGCAATATCTTGATAATTAAATTAATATTTCTGCCAATATTATACATTAGATATAAAGCAATAATCTAAAAAATCAACATTATTCGATCAACTAGCCTTATTTAATTCAGATTTAATCGTAAATTATACAACTCGAGTTAAAAAAAAAAGATCAATTATTGCTTTACATATAGATAAGATCACATTGGCGAATAATTATATGCAAAGCAGAAACTATATATCACGATCGAAAAATGCGGATACCGCGTAAATTTCGTAATTGTCCGTCAAATATGTACACTGAAGCCGGAAAGCGTCATCCCGCGCTTTTACAGTAATCTCAATCTTGCATTAAACGCGAGTAAATCTCTAATCGAAATAGAATTCATCGTGCAACTTACGTGTCGTGCTGCTCCAGATCAGTCGACTCTACACGGCAGATATTCGCGATGCGTCAAAAATAATAAAACTTCCACAAGTCGTGAGGTTACGCCTGATACCGCTCTGCTGCATCATAATAACGCGGGAGGGACGCGCAAAGGCACAAGGCACGCACACGCCGTGCGTTCCGAGATACATCCGATGTAGGCCACGCGGGAGAGCAACTTTACCGTTACGTCAATGGGTGCGTACACAATTTGCGATTCTTACATTCGACCTCTCACGCCGATTCCTCGTGATATTCCAGCCAAATGTAACGAATATCCAGTCGAGTGCATTTTATCTTATCTCAATGACCGGAAACTAGGCGAAATCTTGTCGGTAATTAAGCGGTCTTATACTACAAAGAGTTTTGTGTAATATATTGTTAAAACTAGTGTTATATAGATTCATATATGTATATTAGCATTATTCTAAAATAAATAGAAAAAAATTAAACTAGAAAAAAAATTGTACTCTGTATTTTTATAGTAGAAGTATTTAAATATGGATTTTTCCACGTGTTTCGAAAAAAAAACCAAATTAATAATATATATTATAAATAACTTATAAATAACTATAATTAAAAAGTAATTATTAGTAATATAAAGTATTATTCCACGAATTAATATACTGTAAATTATTTTTTAATAATGTTACTAGAATTATTATTAAAAAATATATTTTAATAATAACAATATAAATATAAAAGTTGATTAATAAATAATATTTTTCGATTAAACAATAAATTTTGAAAAGTATATATATATATCTTGAAATTCGAACAGTCGACGTCGAGATTGCATATTGTACATACCCACATAGTTGATGTATAGGTTGCGTCAAATAAATTTGTTAAATGCAAATTGGAATCAAAAGTCGTATGTACTAGAGGTGAAAGAATATAGAATTGTTCGGAATATATATTAAAACCAATATGTGTGTGCGTAATTTTAGAAATTTTTATCTCCTTATACATATAAAGAAGATTTCTGAAAAAGTTTAAAATTATAGATGTCAAATTTAAAGCGTCAACGAATGTTTCCTTATTACGTGATTTTTGTAATAAAATATTTTTACAATTGTTTTTATAACGATATATATATATATATATATATATATATAATTTGTTTCAAATTGCATTTCTATTAATTGCAAAATTAATTAATAGGTTACAGAGACAGAGCAACTTAAAGTCTTGACATTAATCCGTCATCTGTCGAATTGCAACGAGTAATCTGGAATCTGGAAAGCATTTGTGTATAACGGTTGCGAGTAAATTGCCATTCTTTTCCGATAACGCAAGAGCGAAAACACACACATGGACGAATTCAACTTAAAGAATAAATGTGAACTCTTTGTATGTGTTGCATATGATATGGCTTAATTTCATTTATGCACGTAATTTATTTATCTCATAACGACAAATTTTTTTTTTTAACTTCATACTTTCAGAATTCTTTGGAGAAAATTATAAATTCCAGCGAACATGGTTTTCACGAATTCATAGATAACATTCCACAAACATTCGCGACTAATAATCTCGAATCCAAGTTTCAGGGAGAGATGAACGGAGAGAAAACGCAAACGCTTTTTAATGACTTCTCGACGTCATCTGTTGATGCGTCAAAAGGTTATACTTTTTATACAAAACTTTCCAGTTTAACATTTTATTCCGCGGGCTATAAAATATGATTAAAGTCATTTGCGATTAGATGTAATAATCAACTTGCAACTAAATACATTATAAGTTATATTTTTGCATAGAAATTAAACATTGGATTTATGCATAGATAATGCAAAAAGAATAATGGCGTTGGAATCAAAGTGCGAAGAGTTGTGTGATCAAATTGATCGTTTAACGAAAGAAAAAGAAACTGCATTCGAAGAGATAGAATGTTTAAAAGATCAAGTAAAACTTTATAACATAATTTCTTTTCTATTAATTTGGTATTATAGCATCTATACTATTGTACTACTATTTGTATTACTATTATTAACTGTACTATCATTTATTATTTGACTATTTTCTTGTACTGTATTTTTATATCGTATCTTTTTTTAAATGAAAAGAGAGTTTCGAATGTATTTTATTTGCCCATTATTTCGAAAATGTGCTGAAACGTTATAGAGTATCTTTGTCTCGATTATTTTTTGAAAATGCCATTCGTTAATTTGTTCATGTCTTTTTACTTTCGCGTAGATAATAAGTCAGAGTACCTATTGCACAAGCCTAGGTGCAGTATTAAGTAACCTGACTTGGCGTGCTTCTAGATTTCCGCAAATAGTCGATATTTGGTTAACGACTGTAAGTATACGTTGGAAATATTAAGTGAAAGAGTATAGCATGTTAAAAATTTTATTATATCTGAAATATAACGGAAAGAAAATCCAATTAAAATAAATATACAAATATAATATATATATATTACATATTTTTTATACAATATTACGAAAATATATATCTATAACGATATGTAATATATATTTTCAATCATGTAATATTTTTAGTTTCAGAATAAAATAGGAGAATTTTTATCGATAGTAAACGGCACTTTTGGCGCGTTCGTTAATACTTATAGAAACGCATTCCCACCAACGACCAATATCGAATACCAATTTGTAATAGGACTCCTTGGTATTGTTACTAATATATCCGCGAGTCCGGAAGGTCGCGAATTTTTAATTACAAATTCCAATGGCACAGATTTCGTACAAAAAATAATTAAACTAACGCCTGAATTGCCATCAGCTCCCGGATCATTATCTCTAAAGAGGTATAAATATATTTTGACAGATGCCCTTCTCTCTCTGTCATATTTCTAGATTCACATCTCTATTTTTACATTAAAAAATCTTGTCTTTTTCAAATTTTCATAATATATTTTCATTGAAAAAAAGAGAAATCTTTTTAAAAACACACGCTTCGGTGTATGTTAACAATGTCTCAAGCGCAGTTGCAATTGTAGATTAATATTAATGATTCTGTACAACGTGAGCATGAACAAGACCGGCTTGCAATATCTGCTCGAGTCCCAATTAGAAGCCACGTTGAGTCATTGTATGGAAGATGAATCGTCCTCGGAAGAGGTGCAGTTGCTCTGTCTTCGCGTCTTACAATCCGTCACTTACGGTCTCACCGAACCGAAATACATTCACGCTTTGACCACAACAATCGCGATCGAAAGAATCGAAACTATGGCGTGCTCAAAACGCAGCGATATAAGCGAGGCAGCAAGACAAGTTATAAAACATTTACAAGATACTAAAAAAATTATTAAATGATATACTATAATATATAACACTAATACATTTTCTATAAGGATGCATTATATTTGCAAAAATAAATATGTAATCATGCGTATAATAAATAAACGATTAAATGCTTTAAAACAATTTTTTTCCAACAATTTTGTTTGATGAAATGTTTATAGAAATTAAAATATGCCTACAAATATGTTTATCATTTATACATCTATTATTATATATTATTTATATTAA